ATTAGGGAAAAGAAGCTCTGGAAGCCCACTTTGCCGTCCCGGCACTGGTCCAGGTCCTTCATTATTTTGTCCAAGGCCAGAGGGTCTTTCTGATTCTGGGAGAAAAATAAAAAAGAACAAAGTCAAGAAATATCAGTTAATGGTTACAGTGACGAGCTTATTTGATTTATGCTGCTGAAAACCATGTGTACAATCTCCTAGTCACTTGAGCTCTTGTTTTAGGTCATAAGTGACCTTTGGAGGTCATCTAAATGTATTTTTTTTTTTTTTTTGCCTTGAGGGAGCATTTCAGTGAATTCATGTTTAAATTCTGCCTAAGAACCACCCTAAACTCCCCATTTTGTATCTTACACTTATGTTCCCTTAATAAACTTTTATTCCTGATAGGCATGGTCAAGTCCTTTTAAAAGGAAACTCTTTATGAAAAGATCTCATAAGATTATTTAGGGAATAAGTTTCAGATCATCGTTCTATGGATTTTAAGGAGGTACTAATGATGCCAAGCAGTGTTTTAGGTTTGGAGAAGATAGACAGCTCTCGTTTCTCCTTAGTACAGCTGAGACCAAGCTAGTGTGGCATCATATTAGCTATGTGATCTTGAGTAAGCCACACAGTGTAGTAGGCCTTTGTGTATCAACTAAGGATTGAGGAGGTTGGACTAGAGTTTCTCTAGGATCCCTTTCATTCTTTGAAGTGGTAAGTCTATGCCATCCTGTAGACTCTGCTGGATGTTGTACATTGGACCAGCTTTCAAAGGAACATGTATGCTGGAGTCATCAGCTCCCATGACTCCCAGCGCCTGGTAAGAATGTGTGGGATGGGATGGAGATGGGCAGCCAAGCTCCCCTTTGCTTTCTTCTTGCTTCCATGGTGACTGGTTGATCACTCCTTTCTGTAGCGATGCTGGTTAGAGGTGGGGAAGTGGGGTTTCTCCTATAGGGTCCATGCCATCAACCAGAGAGGGAAATATGGTTATCAAAGGCCTCAGATCAAGTACTTATGAATTCCTGTGACTGTATTCATGAGTGAGGGAACTGATACTCAGTGTTTCAAGTGTGCTGGATGCTGGTAAATTGCACTCAGGAATCCCTGAAGGTATAGTAGCAGTATTTCCTACATGAGGACTGTAAACTCCTGCCCTAAGCAATCAACTAAAGCCTGCTCTATGCAGCTAATTCTGGACTCACCCTCAGCTTCCTGGCTGTGGTAAGAATGAGTGAAATTTGGATGACATAAGGGGTCTACTTTGGAAACAAAATGCTCTGTTAATGCAGTGAGTGTGGGTGTGCCTGGAATTATGACCCTGTGCTTGAAATAAATTACCCTACCATGTTCAGTACCCCACACTACCCTTTATATTTCTCATGCCATAAAACTTTTAGGGTGAAAGGGTCTGCCTTACATGACATTCATCCTGGCTTCTAACTAATGCAACGACATGATTAACAAGGGTTTAGTGTACCAAGAATACGCCTGTCCATGTGATGGGCAGGCTCATAATGAGCACATTTTGTCCTTACATTTCAATGCTTGCTTTGAAGGACCACAGAAAGTGAAAGTGACCTCGCAGATAATCATGTCTAGCCCTCTCATTTTACAGGGGAGAAAACGGAGGACTAGAGAAGCTGAACTAGAGGACTAAAAACCATTGTCAGTTAAGGCAGAGCCAGATCTTCTAAGTTCCGGTCTGGGGCTAGATCACAGGACTCTATAAAAGCAGAGTAACTAATTTTGGGATTTCTTCAGGTAATTGCAGCTCTGAGAGAGCAGCTAGGCTATTTATATCTGTTTCTTTAACAGATATTGATGACATATAAATTATATTATACTACAAAGTCCCTATGTTCATCAATGCAGGAGTCAGGGGCTTGACTAATGTGTCATTTACCAGGTGGATGACAAGAGGCGGACCCAGCCTTCTACCATCATCTCCTTCACTTTAGAGGCTAATGCATTATTCATCACCAACCACAGTAATGAGCCTAAGTGACTAGAGTTGTGGCAAGGAAAGAAAGGCTTTCATTTCAATCTATTATGCCCAACAATGTTTCACCTTCAGTTGAATTCAACAACCCCCTTTTGAGGACCTGCAATGTAAAAGGACAACTGTGCCTCCTGTCCTGAGTGACATATCTGAGCTGATGGCAGAGTTCTTTTCCAGTTTGCATGGATCTGTCAAAGGTAAGACATAAACTCAAACTATGTTCCTGTGTTCTCAGAGCATTTTCAATGTGAAAAGCAGCTATTTCTGAAGTGATTCTTGGTTCTTATCCAGCAGATGATTGACACTATTCCTTTATAGTACTGGAGAAGGAAAAAACAAATCCCTTTAACTGAAGGGGTTAAGAAGGGAGATTCAAGTTGCTCAAAATGGAATGTGACCAGGATGTGACATCTCCAATACCAGGTTTATGGACCTGATCACAGCCATTTCCTGGTTGATTATTCTCTTGTGAAAAAACTTCTTTCCCCCAACTCTGTTCCCTGCATAGTCTCAAATGAGGCAGATAACTCCAGATGGAATTTTCTAACAAACACCTCAGTATTGTGGTAATTTGTGTGTAATCTTATTTCACCTGCAGATTACAAACTCCTTGAGGGAAGGGGCTGTGTCTTCTTCACTTTCTGTTTTCTCTATAGTATCTTACAAACAATAGGTATTCAATATTATTTAATAAACAAATGAATGAAAACACTTTTTTAGTGGTGACCTCCACAGGGAAGAAATAGAAAGAGACAGGGAAAGGAACCAGGGCCCAGAAACATTGATTTTTATGTCTGGTTCTTTATGAACCTTTTGACACTTACTTCCAAAAATCCAGGGAACTCCTTTTCCATGAGTACTCTCAGGTCATCCTTTGTTAAGTAGCCTTTATCCCCGGCAAATTTGTGAAATGTAAACATCATGGTTTCCATGGCATGTTCCATTTGAGATGGCATTTTGGTGAGGTCTGTTGAAGTCTGTTAAAAGATTTCAAGAAGCAGGGTTTACATTGACTTTTAAGCCACATGTGTGCCAGTCTTTTGAGGATATTTGGAAGGAGGGTGATTGATCATCCATTTTAGCTTTTCCAGCTATAAAATTCAATAAATCTAAGAACCAGGTCACCCTAGTTTTTGGGTCTCTTGCTGGTGGAAATAGACACCTCAGGAATTGGCGCTGTAAAATGAGGGATTTATCTACCTGCCGGCTAATTCTGCATAAATCACCCAGTGAAGAAAAACAACTCTAATCATTTAGAAAAGCAAGATCAGTATTCCCTTTTTTAACT